TTCAACTAAAAACCTACAGAAAACATTATGCTTAATGACAAAACATTGAAAGCTATTTCTTTGTAATCAGGAACAAACTAAAAATACTTGCTATCATAATTTCCACATAACACTGAAATGTAGGTCTCCCCAGTACAAAAAATAACAAAAAGCACTGTCATTATATGCAGATTACGTGGCTGTGCACATGCAAACTTTCTAAAGAATACAGAGACACATTGTTAGAATCGAGTTACAATTTTACGCATGTATTATCACTTATTGGTTAAAATAAAATTTAAGAAAAGATAGCATTTACAATATACCCTGCCAAAATATGCCAAACTGAGGAGTAATTTCAAAACATTATATGTAAGACCTCTAGAGTGAAAATTCTGAAATCATATGAAGAATATGATCTCACTACATCTAAATGAGATTCTTCTAAAATGGTATACCATATTCTTAGGCTGAAAATCTCAAAGATGTCCAAATTGTAATACTTCACACACTGATTTAGTTTCAGTACAAACCACTCAAAATTCTTCCACATTTATCTTATGTGCGGGTGAACTTAATAAACTGATTATAAAATATATTTCAGGGTCAACAGGCCTAGAATAGTAAAGAACTATCTGAAGAAGAACAAGGTAAAATAATTTGATCATCTGGATTTCAAGATGCATTACAAATTCCTTGCTACTTAAGGCAGTATAATATTGACTCAGATAGACAGACAAACGCAACAAACTGAAGAAGAAACATCTTTATACAGGTATAGACACTGGGCAAAGTTAAACAGTAAGGAAAGAATGCTTTGCAATAAAAAGGTTGGTTAAATTATTCATTGTACATCTACACTTTGACATACTATATGGCTATTTAAAAAGGTGATTTAGAACTGGATGTGGTGGTACGTGCCTGCAATCCCAGCATTCTGAGAGGCTGAGGCAGGAGGAGTGTAGGTTTGAATCCAGCCTGAAAAGTTTAGTGAGACCCTATCTTAAAATAAAATTAATAATAATGATATGAAGAGTTGGGGATGTAGCTCACTGCAAAGGCCCTGGGTTCATTCTCCAGCACCCCCAAGAAAGATTCAATGCTGTGTTCTAAATTGGAAATGTTATTCATTCATTCAACAAATATATTTTGATCACTGACTATCTACTATTTACTAAAACATATTTCTTGCAAAATATATTACTACTTCGTTTTTTAAAAACTACTTGGTTTTTAAAACTACTTGGTTTTTAAAAAACCAAGTACAACATCCCACAGAGTTGTGACTTTTCTCTAACTCCCGTTTCATACAATATTGAAGTCCTTACAAGATTACGGCCCTTTTGTCTCTCGGATACCCTTCCTCTCTCCTCTGTGTTGTCCACGTGGCTGTTTTGGCTGCAGTTATTCATCTACCTCTGAGTTTCTGGGTGAATTGTTGCTTCTGTTTAAAATATATTCCATCAGAAACCCCTGTAGCATATTTTCTTGATGAATTAAAGTCCCTGACAAATAATTCAACTCATCTTTTGAATGAGATTATCCCTGACCAGCCTATTTAAATGAGCAGTGTTATTCCCTACCCCAGAATCCTCTCTCCTCTTCCTATTTTATTTGTCTCATATTATTTTCTCAAATCTTTCATTTTACTTGATTATCTGATTATTGTCTGAATTTGACATTACATAAATTCTGTAACTGCAAAAAAATTCTATTTTACCCACTGCTAGATCTTAACACTCAAATAACACCGGTGTGTAATAGTACTGTATTGTGTGTCTGTGTGTTTACATGACTGGATGTTCTCATGGCTGTGTAGAGAAAACATAAAAACAACAATGACAAATTATTAAAGTTGTTATTTCTGAGGAGGACCACTCTCCTATGATGAAAAAAAAAAGAAATCTTTCACAATTTACCTTGAAATTTTTGTATTACTTGATTTACATATTATAAAATGTTAAATTTTTAATAGCCTTAAAAAGACAGATTAACCTCAAAAGCAAAATCCAAAAATTTGAACAACATCTACAGAAAAATGAAGAAGGTGTGTTAGTCAACTGTTGTCACTATGACAAAATATCTGAGAAAATTCAATTAGAAAAAGCAAGATTTATTTTGGCTCATGGTTTCAGAAGGTTAGTCTATGTTCATCTGGTTCCATTGCTTTGGGACTGAGATGAGGCAGAAAAATCATGGCGGTTAATCTTGCATTCTTACATCTGGTAATCTGACCAACTTTGATGAAGATAAAAATATGTAATATAACAACCACTGCTAATCCCTATCATTTTGTTCTGAAACCCTGTATCATTCTTATTGTTTTCACTTTGTTTTGTTTTTGTCTATGTTGTTGGCATTTTGCTATTGTTCTTTTTAAAAATTCTCTTTAAAATAAAAAAATAAATAAATTCAATTGGTGAAATGTTAAAAAAAATCATAGTGGAAGGACATGGAGGAAAACTTTCACCTCATGGCAGCCAGGAAGTAGGAAAAGAGAACCAGAGCCTGCGGTGGTAGGCTTATGATCTTATTTTTGCAGTGTTCTTTTTCAGAACAAAAAGGACTATAGTTCAGTGACATACATGCTTATGACAGGACAAGAAAAGTACAATACAAAATAATATTATCCCTACAGGGATAAAATAATTATTATCCCTGTAAAAATATGTAGAAAGATTACACAGAGACACACACATACATGTCAAGGGATAAACTGTGCCTTTATGTTTCAGTGAAGCTTTAAAAAATTTAAGAATTTGTAAACCTATGAAGGAAGAACAGTCAGGAGAAATCAGAAATAAGGTGACTGAACCCAAGAAAAAATTATCAAGAAAACATAACACAAAAAACAATCAACTAGAAGGAACACCAGATACATAAACACTCACATACAATGCTACAAGAGAAAAAGGAAATGAAAAAAGAATCTTTAAAACAAAAATGAAATAAAGAAAGGCAATGAAGATTCAGTGTACATATAATAAAGGCCCCCAAAAGAGGATCAAAATAATATATTAAAACTGTATCCAAACTCAATTTTATATTTAGTACAGTATTTAATAACTTAACCCTCAAATTAACAAATCTTTTGAAAAATGAAAAAAAAAATCAAATTATATATTGAACCCAACAATCAACTTGGGTTCTAGTTGATTGTTTTTTGTGTCATGTTTTCTTGATAATTTTTTCTTGGGTTCAGTCACCTTATTTCCGATTTCTGCATATTCTGACTTTGCATATTCAGAAGACTTTTCCAGAATAAACGATACTAAAACATATTTTAGAAATACTTGGACATGGAAGAAAAAGAAACTTCCTTTAAGTATGCAGGTAATAAGACTTCTCATTTACAAGGGAAAGAAGTGTACTATATGTCATCAGTTTGGGGTAGTAGTCCTTTATTCTGGAAGACTATGTATATCTTCATGACACTCCAAAATGAAATTGTGAGCAAAGGAGCCGATATACTCAGCTTGGCTTTCCAATACTGAGGACATAAACTGTTCTCAACACAGAAGAACTCAGAAACATTTCTTTGAGCAGTTCTTGACACTGAGTTTCAGGTCATCAATATGAGAGACTGGAAGGTTTAGAACATAAACTCTAGAAAACAGTTCACAACTAAATGGTTATAGGATAGACGGCACAGTGCATAGTGTATATGCCCTACAATATAAACAGACTGGTTCTACAGGAAGTGGAAGCAGTGAACAGGAAAAACAAAGGAAAACTACAAAGCATGCCATTTGCTTATAATATTAACTGGGATTAAAGGATAATATTGAAAATTACATACTTGAGAAAAATAAGGAGAAGAAGTAAATGAAGTTAGCTAATTTCAATATTATTCTTAGTAGAAAATAAACAGAAAATAGCCAGAAAGGGGGGGGGATATTATATAACAATATTATAACATTAGAATACAAATTTTCTTTAACACAAAAAGCTTTTAAAAACGGGCACCCAAACCAATAATAAAATAACAAATCAAACACAAAATCATAAAATAAAAACCTTCATATAAAATACTTGTATATTAAATGCAATATTACAGTATGCTGCTTTTTCCTTCGAGGTGATTGGGAAAGGAACACAAATATATAAAAAGTAGAATTAAAATTTTAAAATGAAATAATGAAGGTTCAGTCTTAATTTTTATAAATGCTAAAAAAAAAAAAAGTGGCTTAGAAACTTTCTCAGCCCTGAAACAAAATACCTGACACCCGCCACCTAAAGGAGGGGAGGTTTATTTTGGTTTATGTTTTCAGTCTACAGGTGGCTGTCTCCAAGGCAGAAATGACATCACCATTGTGGAAGGGTCTAGCAGAGGAAATCTGTTCATATCATGCTGATCAGGAAGCAGAGAGAGAAGGGAGGAGTCAGAGATATAGCCTCGCAGTTCACACCCCCAGTGAGCAGCTCTCTGAGCAGACCCTGTTTCTTAAATAGCACGGTCAGCTACTGAACTGATTTGTGGATGAAAGCCCCAATGAGTCTAGGGCCCCTGTGATCCAAACACCTTCCAAAACCGCACTTGAAACTTTTAGGGGCCATTCTAGATCTAAGTTATAACAAAGAGGAAGAGCAGGGATAGGGTAGGGAGTATGGATATATATACAACTGCCAGGCATCTTTCAACATAAATTGTTTTGTAGGTTTCACTTTGGAGTTTTGTAGGTTTCACCTTTCAATAATTATAAACCACTAGTAAACTTCTTGAAACACAATCCCTAATAGTAGAAAACAAAAAAAGCAGACCTATAAAAGTCGAAATACATTATTGCAATTATACTGCCATATTTCACCCTAAAAGTTCCTTGCATATTGGCTAAAAAGTCTAAATGTGAATTTGAAGTTTATAAAAAACATAATGTTTAAAAGTTGGACTTCCAATACATACGTACAGTTCTTGGTTCCCCACCACCACTAGCACTTCTAGTTAACACAGGAAAGCAGACTATAAATGAAATGAGTTGAGGTAAGGGAACATTACTGTCTTTTTCTCTTAATTTCTCTAGGAAAATAAAGGAAAGTCTGGAATGTTTTCCTGTTAAACTGAACAACTTGATCCACATACTCGCACAAATGTCAGCAGTGAGCCCTGCCAGATCTCCTCCTCAGACATCCTCCCAGGAACCCTGTAGGCTGAGTACAACCAGGTCAATTCAAAGAGCAACAATTTTAGGGTTCATCAAGAAACCCAATGATGTAAGTTCAAAATCTGTTTTCTGGACTCCATCTCTAACTCGGCTCTATATCCTTTTTTTTTGGCTATGCAAATGAAAAATCAGTCACAATTTGAGCTCAAGTGCTATTAAGAGCATGTTTTAAGGAAAAATCATAACAACCAGAGCTATTAGCAGAGAACCATCAAAGGGAACAGTTCCTGCCCTGTGGTAGAATATAAATCAAGGGCTAATTAAAGTGTTCACAAGAAAAGAGCAGCAGAAATTGGTCTGTTCCAGCGCGTAAGACTATGATATGTTCTGGGATGTGTTCATAGGTGTTACTCCTTTGCAAACTGCGTCTCTTTGTGATAATTTTTGCAAGAAGGCTCTTTCTTTTCGTGGTCTACAGAAAACTAGGTTTTAGCATGTATCGCCCATTATATTGTCATCTTTTGATTTTTGCCTATTCTTCTGCAGCTATATTTGATCCAGGTGACGCACGGTAACAACGAAATCAGCCTAACAGAAAAGTCATTTGACCAGTTTTCAAAACTTCACAGCCAGCTTCAGAAGCAGTTTGCATCACTGACTCTCCCAGAGTAAGGCTCTGTCTCCTCACATTGTTTTGCATTCGGTACTTGTCCTTGAGCAAAAGGAAAAATTATAGTTACGGGATTTTGAATTTGGGAGCAAACTCAGTATTCTGACTGCAATACCACTGAATCTCTTCCAGCAGAGAACCGGCTCTGCTCTGAGTAAAGAATCTTTTGTTTCATAAAACAGAACAAGGTTTGCAATTTTCTTCTTGCTTCCAGCTTCTGATTTTGTTGACAGAAAAAAAACAGAAACTATTTCATTTTTCATCAATTATTGGGGAAATTGGTTTATTTACCTGTTTTTAATTTAATCTGTTGTTTTCTACAAAAATAAAATTGAAGTTGAAAATGCAGAATTAAATTGGATTTATCTATTCTTTTAACAATAACAGAAATAAAAAGCTTACATATTTAGTTTCTGTACCAGAAAGCATTTAACAGTATTAATACCAATGTATATATTTATAACTCACATCTACCACCATCAATTACTAACTTTTTAACTGTTTTTATTCAACTTGTATTATGTAAACTATTTGTTATTATGTTCATTTTGAAGCAATAATTGTGGTCATTCATGTTATAGTAAAAAAAATCTTAAACATATGTAAACTACATTTGTAAACTACAAATACAAAGAAAACAACTACCAGTCATATGAACATTTGTCCCTTACAATGAGGCAACATGAGATCATAGTTTTCAATATATAACAAAATATATCTTGACTTTTAAAAGGTGAACTTCTCAGAAATTATGTAGTGAGATAGATCAACTTTTTTATTTACACTGGATTTTTGTTAAGTAAACGATCCTTTAAGGATATAAATGTCTACAATATTCCCAATATTGGTTGAACATGTGGATTTTTATTTAGCTTTCAGTGTTGTCACTTTCCAAAGTATAAATATAAGCAGAATGGTCAATGAATGGAAGATTTTGTGCAACATTGACAACTGAGTAATTCACATTCCTGAAAATCTGTATTTGCAGGTGTCAGAGATTTTGAAACATGAGTATTTCAAGCCTCAGGAAGTCAAGAAATTGGAGTGAAAGCATAGTGAAGGGAATGAGAAGGAAGGAAAGTTGTTCTGGGAACTTTAAAGTATCGGGTTTGAGAATTATCAAAAAAGATTTTAATAGAATGAGGAAAAGGAGATGTGAGCAAAAGCTTCTAAATTGGGCTACAAATACTGAACTCAACATCTGGAGTTGCCATCGTACCTACTAATTAATTATTTAAAGAGATAAATTAACCTGTCCTTTTCTGGTTTCCAAATTGTACATATCAGTGTAACTTCAAGAAATTTAGAAGGGCTGGCAATGCTCTTCTCAATTTTCAGCTTTAGTTAGGGTTGTGCTTTGCTCACAGTTACTGCCTGGCAGAGTACTCAAATTAATATCCGGACTACTTAAACTAGCTGGGCATGATAGCTCATGCCTGTAATCCCAGCACTCTGGAGGCCCTGGGACAGGCAGATCACAAGTTTGAGCCTGGCCAGAGCAAATTAGCAATATAACAAGATCCTTTCTCAAAATGAAAAATTTAACAACGGCTGGGAATGGATCTTACTGTGAAGACCCTGAGTTCAATCTTCAGTACAAAAAAGAAGCAACAAGGAGAACTACATTTCCTCTTGGGTGCCCTGAACAATATTTGTGTGCCAAAGGCCCAAGGTATAGGCAATACAAGCTAACGAAGGATGAGAGCAAAGTTTCTTCCAACTCCTAAATTTCCTGAGAGAAGCCCTCTGATGGTTATTGAAATCTGATCTGGAAAGTTTCATCAGAAAATTATAGTCTTAAAGAATAAAATTTTACTTAGGTATTGATAGCAGTGGCCTGCAAATCAGGCTATTTGCACTTCTGGGTTCTTTGCATGAGCACACAGGCGTGGAAATAGGCCTTATAATTAAGGCTTCTTTAAACCATTCAGCTCTAGGACACTAGAATTTCCTTTCCCCGTTCTACTTTTCTCAGTGCTCCTCTCCCAACCTTTGAGATCTGATTTTGATTATACTGTCCCAAGGTATAAAAACCTCTGAGGAGCAGATTAAAAGGCAAATAAAACCTTTAGTGTTCATATTGACAAAATAAGTTAGCCTAATAATCAGGTATCAACTCTGTTTGTAAGTCATCTGTTTTTGTTGTGGTTTTCCTACTGTTGTTTTGTTTTTTATCTTTGTCCTGAACAAAACTAAGGGAGAACGTGATAGGACTGTCAGATAAGAGATCATAAAAATTAATTCTCAATACCTGATTGCTATGCTGCATTTGGCATGTAAGATTTCAAACAGTTGAATGATATTGCTATGGTAGAATTCCTCAATTTTTACGTACATGTTTATACATAAAATTTTTTAGCCTGTGTACAAAAACATCAGTAAAGGAAAAGAATTGATGTTAAACTGTTTTATCCTACCAATAGGGAAAATTCAAAAACCTTTGATTTTTATATATATTTTATAAATAGTATTTTGATTAATTTTCATAGCTATATATGGCATTGTTATTAATTTTCATAATTAAACCTGGATGAAATTTTTAATCCTTTAATCCTTAAAGCTACAAGAAACTTTTTTAAAAATTACATGTTAATTATTTACTATAAAAATATGTTCATGGTAGACTTCCTGGGCATTTCCAATAAGAAGGAGTAAATGGGGCAGCATGCAGGTGTCGCCTACTTGTGTACATTTGCAGACAGAGTCCTTCACTAGCCTGTGTTCATTTTTCCAGGAAGCATGGTAGCCAAGCCATGGTGTTTATCCAAACAGCAGACCTTTAGATGAGGCAGCAGTGAGACAGCAGTCAGAAGAAGCTACTACAGCAGGTAGCTCTTAAAAAGCTGGTTTTAAGCAGCAACATGAGTTACAAAGATGAGCGCTAATAACTCAGCTCGCACAATACCTGGCTTAATCAACCCACCCCTCAAGATGAGCCCTCAGACAATGTCTGCAAGTCAGACTCTTGAGGATATGTTACTGGGCCCCAAAAGACTAAGATCAGATGGAAGCACAGGACACTTGGTAAAATGTTTGCTTTAGTTAGTGTGGTAATGTCTGTAGTAAATCCGGAAGAGACAATACAATCTGAACTCTTTGTAAAATTATAAATCACTAGGTTCAGAAAGTATTTCTTGAACTCCCACTTGTATTTAAAGGACAAAATGTGTGGTCTGCTATAAACACAGTAAAAAGAATATGTAAATTGATGGTTAATTAATTTAGTATTAATATTAGTGACAAAATAGGACAAGGGACCACAGCTACGTCAATGAAACTTTCAAGATTAATCATGTTACTCTGACTTGTTCGGATGTTTTCCTTGGCCTTCTAGCTGATGCAGCTGTTAATGCTGTCAGCAGCCCTAAAACAAAGATATCAATTTTTATACTAATGAAGATACATTTTTTTCTTTTAACACAGGTTTCCTCATTGGTGGCACTTACCTTTTACAAATTCAGACCACAAAAGATTCAGAGATCTAAATCATTACATGGAGCAGCTGTTACATGGATCGTATGAAGTGGCAAATGTATGTTACAATTTAGTTTTTCTATTTATACACAAAATATCAACTCTTTCATATCCTGTTACTGGAAGGGCTTAAGTATGTTTTATGATAATACTCTTTAGTTCATTCATTGAATGAATTTTCATGTCTAACTTGTCTAAAGTCCATGAACTGGGAACCGTGAAGCAGCAAAAATGTATACAGCCTGGCTTCAAATAAGCTAAGTGAAAAATATGTGCTAAAAATATGGACTGTCCATGGTACTGGGTGCTCTGGAGGTTTCCAGGAGCACAAATTACTTCCAATGGTGTTGAGAAAGTGTATAGGGAGAAAGGATCACTGAACTGAGCTATGAATTCTGGGTAGGATTTCAGAGTTGTCAATGCGCAGTGGTCTAGAGTAGAATCAAACAATATATAACAGATCAGGAGGGAGGAAAAAAAAGAGGGAGGAATGGTATTCAATTCCTTTTGCTGTTATGACCAATGACCACAAACGTGGTCTCTTCATACAACACAGATACAGCCAGGAGAGCTGGTGCACTTTTGCAATCCCAGCACTGTGGGAGGCTGCAGCAGGCTAACTACCAGTGCCAGTCCAGCCTGGACAATTTGGCCATTTATCAAGACCTATAAAACCATATAGCATGGACTATTCCTGTACAAGAACTGCAGAGTTCCAGAGGCAGGTATCAGCTAACAAGATCTTCTAGAGCTCTTGGACAGACATACGACTCTTGAGTGATTTGTACAGGATATAGTCTAAAAGAGTAAAGAAGACAAGGCCTTTTGGGGGGCAATTGATCCAAGAATGGAGAACAATTAAAGAATATCGGCAAATATTTAAACCATGTATCTTGAATAACAATATGAGCCCACTGATACTATGAATCATAGTAATCAACAGTCACCACGATTATAGGTAAAAGCTCATCTTCAGTGTTATGTCCATTGTCAATTGGGTTGTGGATGAAAGGCAGAAGCAAGCATACTGACTGCTTCCAGCATGATCTTTCAATAAGGAAAAGCTCCTCTTTCTCCTCTCTCGTCCCACTGCTCCTAAAGTTTAACTCTGATGAGGACATTAATAGGTCATTCCTGAACTCAGATGTCTAGAAAAACCCACAGCACTTGGGTTATACCTTAAGAAATACATATATAATAGCATACTGTATAGGCAGATGTATTTCATAATAAACTACAGCTATTGTAGCAGCAGTGCAACAACAGGCTCCATAATGAGAACTTACTAAAAGATCAAAGAACTCAGTTTTTCTTATCTGCCGATTCAACAACCTTTCCTCCTCATTTCAAACATAAAGGTTTAAATCAATCTACTCCAGTCACCATTGGAATTTCTTTAATCATATGCTATGCAATAGATTAAATCAATATCCATCAGGGAAACATCACTGAAATTTTAAAATTCAATATGTCAATACATCTCTTTAAAACTACCTTCTAACTGTGAAGCAGCACACTAATTCAATATGTAGGCTTATTGCTAAGCCTCTTAGATTGGCAATGCTGTGGACTGATCCCAAATCTACCTACCCAAGAAGAAAATCAAACTCAGGTCAAAGGTGTCATGCTTACTGTTTTAGGAAAGCGGAAATGTCAGTGATGACCCCATTGGATTCTGCATAGTCAGAAGCAAGAGGTAGGACTTTTAAATCATTTTCACCAGTTCTAATACAACAGCTTCTCAAAGCACAGTTCCTGTACTCTACCAGGATATTCACCTTGAAGCTTAAAAGAATGCAGATTGTCTGCCTTATCCTAAACCAACTAACTCAGAAACTCTCAAGATAGGGCCTAGCAAGTGTGTTTTAAGATTCTGATGTGTGCTAATGTTTAAGAACCTTTGCCACAGCCTATAAATATCTTCCCCATTTTTAGACATGTTCAGTTATTTGGCCACTAGTATAACAATACTCAAGGATCCTACTATATTATTGACTCTTGGCAATTTAGGCCAGAGAACATTGTACTGCAGTGTCATTTCAAGACTGGTAGATTCTCAGCTGGAGACTCTCTTTTATACTGAAGGACAAGTACCTAAGCACTTAAGGAGATCCACTTAACTCAGCTCTGAGTGAGTAAGAGAAGGCATCCTAGAGGGTATGGCATTCAGGCTGATATTAAAGGCAAGTAGCAGTTAATAAATAGGAATCAAGCAAAGTCATGCTAGACAAAGGGAACTGTAAAAACAGCACATTATGTCTACAAGCTTTTCTCCTGTTCAGAAAATTAAGAACTTACTCTTAGATCTTTACCCCAGATCTACCTCAATTTTTACCACTAATGTTTAGCAAATATTTTAGTGAATAAATAATTGCTAATGGAATTATTACCATATATTATCCAAAGGATATGCTGTCACTCAAAAAACCTAAGGGATTGAAAGATTGCCTTTGAGAGTATGTAGCAGTGGTCTCTACCTCTATTGTTGTACCTAATCAAAAAATGTTAAAATAAATTAACTCACACTTCCAAACTAGATATTTAATTTATATACATTTTATACCCACACTACTACATGCATAAGTGATAACATTTTAACACTTGTAGAAAAATTAAATTTGTTTAAAATGTGGAGATACTTAAAAGTTTTTAAATTTCATTTAAAAAATTAAATTTTATTTTAAAAATTAAATTTATTTAAAATTTAAATTTCTTTCAAATGCAGAGATATTACCAAAGGAATATCAGCAGAATATGTTCTATTTCTTACCAGTGCACTGGCTAATTTGGCATAGTAGAGTAATCTCAGGAATCCGGCCAGTTGCCATTATGGGGCAGACTGGACTGGCTCCGAGGGCCAAGCCCAGGAGCAATGCCTGGCCATAGTCAAAAAAGACGATAGTGCTAACAGTGCTCTGAGTCATGATTCACCCTCCAGAAAGATCATTCCGATCTTGCAAATCACATTTGCAATCTGCCTGTTATGAGCAAAGAGAAAGAAATGAACAGTATGTGTTCACCAAGAGAATAGACTAATAGAAAAACTGGAGCTATAATAATGTCAGCAGAAGGAAACAAAGATGGGAAATAATCATGGAAAACAATGTTAGACAATAATAAAACTAGACAGTAGAAAAGCAAGATATTATGCTTGCATCTTCCATAGGAAGAATATATGCACACACTGGGTTTTCTTTCCTTTATTTCTTTTTAAAATATATTTGGCCTGTTGTCTTCATCAGTGAGTCATGGGAAATGAGTTATGCAGAGATGTCTGCCTTGTAAGACAGGGCAATTTAATTCATTCCACTGGGGTCCAGTCGGTTTTTGTCTATTCAAAAATAATATAGAATGTTGACATCTCAATGTCCCTTACTGATTTTGACATTCTCAGGAGGTCATGTCTGTTCACTTATATGGTAGTCAAGGACCATAAATCTGGCAGTTATCTTTACAGAAAAGTGTCAACGGGTTGGTGGATGAGATTGTCATCTTTGTAGGTTGAGGGCATCTTTATGATTACAGTAAAGCTATTTGGAGACGATGCCTTTCAGTATGAATTTTAAAATATGCAGTAACTGTTGACATTGTCAAGGTTTGGCCCATGTAAGTGTGAAGCAAGGAGGCTACTGACTTCTGGTTGTGATATGAACAGGGTGAATAATGTATCTGGATCTATATTCGGTAGCAGACATTTAATAAGAAACTCCTAAACCTGCAGTGAAGGCTTCCAGGATGGATTAATACCTAAGTACAAGCAGAGGGCTGTCAGGAGAGCAGAGGCATACAACGGTGGGGAAGATTTCCAGAGGTGCAGTTTAGCCCAGAAAGGCCTCTGTGAATATTGTTGTCTCGCAGGCTTATCACTGCACATATAAACAAAACAAGCAAACACAGAGTACATAGATTTCCGTGGTGAAAATGTAGAAAATCTACCATTTGGAGTCACACTCAGGTAAAGGACTACTGCAGAGACTGGCAGGAGAGGTGTTTTCACTTTATTTGTTTTTCATCACTATTGGCCAGAACTTAGGGAAAAGGAGGCTGAGGATATGTGAGGGTCTACACTGTTTTTATTTTGGGTTGAATTAAAATCTGGGATTGCAGTGGAAGAAAACAAAGAGGCGACAAGGAAAAAAAGCATTTACATCATCAAATGAGATACTGTTGTGAAATCATAATTCCTAAAAAGTGCTGTATATGAAAACATCAAAGCCATCTTCAATACTGAAATTCTGAGGAGGGGATTCTCATCCTCTTCTACAATATCCTTATACTAAGAGAAGTAAAATTATAGACAAGGTGTGTGTGTGTGTGTGTGTGATAGGGATGGAACCCAGGGCCTCCCACATGCTAAATATGTGCTCTACCACTGAGCACAAGGCCAGTCCCAACTTAGTTGATTTTGTACAATGAGTATCCATAATATTTACAATACTTTCATGAGATGCATAACCTGCTTCTCATTTATTAGCTGCTCTTTCTACACTACGAAATGAATAAAGTCAGGCGAGATTAATAGACCCCAAACCAACAAAAGTTAAAATGTGTGTACTGCAAAGCACTGGTGTATTAACTGCTACTTTCAAAAACAACCGTGTCATTCATTTAACACGTTTTTGGATTATCTGAATTGGATACCCTCTGACTAGCAGGACCAAAATAGAACCTAGTGACCATGTTTCAGAGGTCTTAGAAGTATGTTCAGAAGCCATATTGTTAAAGATGCTGGTGAGATAGGTAGGCGTGATATGTAGGAATGTCTTTTTTTTAATAATCCAAGTAATTCAGAGGTACATATTAAGTACGAGAAAATCTACTATAAGAAGTAGAAAGCTGAATCAGATATGGACACCGCTTACAGTCCTTGTCTGCATTCTATCTATTTGATAAGTGCTGATGGCCTTGAAAAGGTTTTTGCAACTACACACACGTTTCTTCCCCTTCTTCTAAGAGAATTCCATGGACCTTGTGATAATACTCACTGTATGGATTATCCAGTGATGGAATAATATCCATGCCATTAGATGGTGATCAGCAGTAGTAAGCAGGGTGGCC